AATGCCGACCTCCCCACGAACTGGATCGGGTTGTCATAAAAGTGTCTGCAGGAAAGACACCGAAGCCCTTCATTCGCCCTCCCGGCTGGACCGAGGCAGGTGTCTGCTCTCCCCTCTCCGCGGAGACCAGCACGCGGGGAGCCCCTCTCCAGTTCCGCCTGCCAACCCCGTCCTCCCCCAACACGTGTCAGGAGCAAGGACTCACATCGTCTGCAGCAGAGGGTTCCCCAGGAAGGCCTTCTCGGGGATGGCCTTGATGTTGTTGTTATGGAAACCCCTGGGGGATGACACGGGCGTCAGAAGGATGCGGAGAGCCCGTGGACAGGGACAGGGGACCCCAGGACACTCTCCAACAGCCGGGCAGGAAGGCCGTGGGCCCAAAGGGGCGTCAGCCTGGGGACCCCGGTTGCACATCTGCCTGTGACTTTCCCTCTTTGCTCAACGACCCGTGGAAAGGAGAAAGGGCGAGCCCGGGCTGAGGGCACTGTGAGAGCCACTCAGGGGAACAGGCTGGCCCCAGACCCCAAGGAGGGCAGAACCCTGGAGGCCCCCAGGGGGACCTGAGGCTGCATGGGAGGAGGGAGCGCAGAAACAGGGGCCCCTGGAGGAGCAGTGGTCCCCAGATGGAGCCAGACCTGGCCTCAAGGCCCTGAACTGAGGAGCGGAGCAGGGGGTGGGGGCGTAGGGGGCACGCCCGTGACCGTGGAGAAAAGGGGGCGTGGCCCCCGGACGTCCAGGCTCCAGAAGCTGGGAACAGTTCACCTGGTTACCGGGGAGGACAGTTCCAAGTAAATGCTGGACTGAAAGGCACAATCCCCGCTGGGCAGCCCCCTCTGCCGTCCTTTTTTCACCAGAGACCCCTGCTTTCTGTGCGTCTTCCTGGCCTCTGGGACCCATCCTCCTTCCTCTCATCACTTCCACGCTCATTCACGAAATTAACCCGCAGCAAACGCCCACCCAGCCTGCTTTGTTCGGTCAGTGTTCCTGCGTGAGTTCGCTCATCGCACGTGTCTGATCACCCGCTTCGTGGCTGGGGTTGAGCCGAGCTCCGAGGGATTCAGAAGTTTACAAGACAGGAGGCCCTGTCCTCAAGCTGCTCCTCCCAACAGACGTGGACAGACACGCCCCACGCGTGTGCCTTCCTGCTGCTGCTACCCCAGGGCTCTGCTCTCTCCCCCCCGAGCTTACATCACCTGCTCCCAGGCCTCTGCACGCCCTGCTCCGGCCACGCCCTACAGACCCCGCAAATCTCCCCGCCTTTCCCGGCTCCAGGGGAAAGGCAGGCCTTGGTGATTCGCTGGCAGTGGGGGGCGTGCAGCCATTCCTCACGCGGACCCTCCCCTGCGCTGGCCCAACTCCCCACCTGCTTCCCAGCGTTCACACTGTCAGCCGGCTGGACCAGGCGAGGGGGAGGCATGGAGTTGGTGCTAAAGGCCCCGGTGGCCGTGAGAACAGATCCAGTGCTGCCTGGAGGTTTGGGCTCAGGTCGTAAACATCCGCTGCCTTAACTGGTCAGCACCACGCAGAGCCCGTCCTGCTACACGGCGGCCCCTCCTCCCCGAAGGCTGTCTCCCCACTGGCTCAGCGCCCCTCTGTGTACTCACTGCCACGCCGGGTCCTCATCTCCACTGGTCCTCCTCCCCGACTGTCGCCTAAAGCCTGTCCACCCTCTAAGTCTGATCTCAGACACGTGAGCCCACAGCGCTCTTTCTGTGCTCTCTGGATACCCAGACCTATTTAGCTAAGATCATACGATCTAGGGTCGGAGTTACATGCCGACCCTGAGCTGCTCTGTCCTGCCCCTGTACTCTGCATCCTGAAGCCCTAGGGGACGGCTGGTGTCTGTCTCACCCCTGGTTTGCATTTAGCAGGAGCAAATGCATTTTAGAATAAAACAAGCCGTGGCCGTCGGGGGGTGGGGCAGAGCCAGCTCCGAGGCCTGTGACTGCTGACCTGGGAGGTCGGGACCTCGGGAGGTGAGGGCATGGGGGGCCCTTGGGCATAGAGGACACCCCAAACCCCACAGAGGAGCTTACAGTTCCTGCAGGCGGCCCAGCGTTCGGATGGCCACAGGGAACTCGTGCAGCTGGTTGTAATTCAGGTCTCTGGAAAGAAGGCAGGACAGTCGCTGGAGGGCAGTTCCCAGGGCGCATCAGAGGCTCCGGGAAACGGACGCTGGCTCTGGGTTGGCTGGAGAGAGGGTCTGGCAGCCTGCCGGGCCCAGGGGCAATGTCCGGAACACACTTTGGGCTGTTCCTCTCCCATCGCTGCCCCCAGACCTCGGCGGGGGGCCTTCCCGGCCACAGACCTGTTTTGAGGGGACACTTAGGGGTGGATAGTGGAACCAACTCTCTCCGAACAGCCCCCCGGGCTCAGGAGAGTATCTCAAGCCTTTGAAGACACCAGTGGATGGGGAGGGGGCCTGGGGAGGAGGGGGCAATTTTTAACACCTTGTCACCGGCACGAGGGATTCTGGAAGCTTCCTCAGGTGACCATCTTGGCTATCTGTGGCCTCTGCTCTCGTCTTTTGCAAAAACGGACAGGACGTCTTACCTTCTGGTGGTGGCGTGACAGCTAATCTTTATTTTCTCTCACTCTTTTCTGCATTTCCCCCTTTTTTGTAAACAGTGAACATATATCATGTGTATAATCAAAAAACGCTGGAGGGACTTCCCTGGTGGTCCAGTGGTTCGATTCCCGGTCAGGGAACTAGATCCCACGTGCATGCCGCAACTTAGGAGCCCGCCTGCCGCGACTAAGACCCGGCGCAACCAAAGAAAGAAAGCGAGAGAGAGAGAGAGAGAGAAAGAAAACATTGGACATGATGTTGAAAAGCGATAGCAACCCAGGTTGTCCAGGGTATGGGGAAACAGCGTTCCAATAAACCCTCAGTGGGCATTTAAACGTGCACAACCTTTTAGGCAAAATTTGACAGAATCTTTTCAAATGAGAAGGTTCACAATGAGTCACTCCACTTCCACGAATTCAACCCACAGAAAAGTCTGCAGCCAGGGGTGCAGATATTTGTAAAAGGAGGCTCGTCGCAGCAGTGCCAGGCGTTGCGCCCTTCACGGCGATACGGCTAAGGGCAGGAGGAGACATGCAAGCGACCAAGAGCAAAGCTGATCGTCCTAGGAGGGGACTGAGAACCCAGCTCCCACACTGCCGGAAGAGGGGTGCGCATTTTGAGGAGTGGAGACTGGGAACGGGGGGGTGGGTAAGAGCGACAGGGACTTTTAGAGGATGTCCCCCTTCCCCACCAAGAGACTTCAGGACGGATGTCGGCTTTCAAAGCTGTAAAGCTGGCTTCTGTCTCAGTAGCCAGTGCCTCGGCCCTACGTAGGAGGCGCCTGATCTGGGGGTGCCATCCTGGCACCTCTACAAGCCGGTGGCTGTGAGCCAAGCTGGGACCGGGGCCCCTTTGCTGCAGTGCTGGCACCTGGACACATCTCTCCTCGAGCCACAAAATACAAAGAAACTGTGTGGGACTAAAAATAACCGTGTGCGGGCTTCCCTGGTGGCGCAGTGCTTGAGAGTCCGCCTGCCGATGCAGGAGACGCGGGTTCGTGCCCCGTTTCGGGAAGATCCCACATGCCGCGGAGCGGCTGGGCCCGTGGGCCATGGCCACTGAGCCTGCGCGTCCGGAGCCTGTGCTCCGCAAATGGGAGAGGCCACAACAGTGAGAGGCCCGCATAACGCAAGAAAAAAAAAATAAAAAATAAAAAAAAAAAATAACCGTGTGCGTGTACAGTTGGGGCAAATTCTGGACAAAAGATGCGAAGAGACCCAAAACCCCAAGCGCCACCTCTGAAGAGCCTGGAGCAAAAGCAGAGGGTCGGGAGCAAAGCGGGGGACTGCGCATGCCCCCTGCACACACCACCATCCAAGGGGTGGGCGGAACACTTAAGCCACCCCCCTCTGGCCTGACCTCTGGCCTGACCTCTGGCCTGACCTCTGGACTCACCCCACAAAAGGAAGAGGCTCGCCCCCCTTTCGGAGAGCGGGCCAGCAAGGGAGCCTGTTGTTTGCTCTCGATCCCCACTCCTGCAGCAGGGGCCCCAGTAAAGCCGGCCTGAGTTTCTTGTCTGGCCTCTGATCAATTTCTGTTGATAAAGGAGGCCAAGAACCCTGGTCCGTAACAGCTGGAGCACAGGGTCGCCGCTCTGGCAGGGGAGGGATGGCTCAGGTGCAGTGTCCTCTGGAGCCCCCAGGATGACCCCAGCCCACCTTTTCGGCCTTTGAAAGCCACCCTTGCCCTGACAGCGTTCACGAGGCCATCCAGCGCCAGGACAGGGCCACGGGGAGGCCCTTTAATTGGTGACTTGCAGGTTTTGTGGTAAATACAGGTCAACACAGAGACAGTGACAGATTTCCTCTACACGGCAGGGTCATGACACCTAACAGTCCACAGGGAGAGCCAGGCGCCCGGCCCAGTGAATGTTGAGCTGGGTAATTGGCCCCTCTCCACACACACAAACACACACACACACACACACACACACACACAAAAACTCCCGGGTTCCACTCAGACTTCCCTGGTGACCTCGGGTAACCCCTGGTCTGCTCTGCTCTGCCCTGTCCTTTAGGCAACCAGACACCTTCCCCTCCTGTGTGCACACCTGGACTCGCTCAGAGAGGCCCCCCCGGGCTGCATGAGGGGAAGGTGAACCGAGGGCAGGGGGTTTGCAACGCACCTTCCTGAGACCAGAGGTGCTGCAGGAGTTTGCAGATTCCTGGGGTTCTACAAAGAGCGGCAGACGGTGCCTGGAAAGCCAGGCCGAGAGGGTCGGGGATGGAGGCAGAGGCGGAGTAGGTAAATTTTTTTCCTGACCTTTGCTTGTGCAAACGATTCACCCTCCCGTCTCACCGTCTCCAAATCCAGAGCCCCCTTCAACCTGGCTCAGCGCATTCAGGAACCCTCCTCTGCTGCCCCAGGAGAACTAGATTTCCCACAAGTAACATGGGAGCACCTTCCCTCAGAAGTCTTAATACTGCAGCCTCATCTTCAATGCAAAGGCCCGCCAGGTCTGGCCCCAGAGCCTTTGCTCACAATTTCATCTGCCTGGGACCCTCCAGGCATCGGCACAGCTACTCCCTCCGTCCCCTCAGGCCTCTGCCCCAATAGCCCTCTTCAGGAGGCCCCCTCTGGCCCGCTGGGCGCCGTTCCCTTGCCCTGTGTGGTCGATCGGAGGTGGCCCCGGCTCTCATCATTTGGCAGCATAAGTGAATCAAATCATCACATCGCACACCTTAAACTTACACAGCGTCGTATGGTCGATTACAGCTCAATCAAGCTGCCCGGAAAAGTGGCCCGAGTCCCCTGCAGCCTCGCCATCCCGGCTCCTGGAGACTCGGCAGTGCCCAGCAGAACGGGGTGGAAGTGACGTGGGGCCGCCCCGTCCTGAGCCACAAGAGCCCTCACAGCCTCTGTCTCCTCTGGGAGGGCCCTCACCACATGTGAGGGCCCGGCTGGCCTCCCGCAGGACGAGGGCCGCGTGGAGAGGGCGGGTGGCCGGCACCAAGGCCCCATGCGGCCCGGCTGAGCCCCGGCGGAAGGCAGCTTTGTGCCGGGCCCGTGGGACAGCTCAGCAGAAGAGCGGCCAGCGCACAGGTTCACGAGAAATCACAAATGTTGTTTTCAACCACTAAGCTTTAAGGTGATTGTTATGCGGCAATAACAACGAGATACCCTGCTTTCTTTTTCCTCATGGAACTTGTTGACATCTGACAGATATCTGTTTATTTTCTTCCCACCAAACTGGAATGAAAGTTCCTTGAAAATAGAAACTTTGCTGTTTTCTAATTGAAACCCAAGGGTCCTGGCACAGAGCAGCCGCTCAACGAACACTGTTGTCTGAGTGAGTCAGTGAAAGGTCTAGACAAGCTGATTAATAAGAAACATTAATGGACTCTTACAGGAACCTGGAGTATTTGCGGGGACAGCCTCAAGATGCTGAGGCCGATGTCAAGAGGCACCAGACAGTCCTGAGCGGTACCCTCAGGGTTGCCCGGGGCCAGCGAGCCTGGGACAGGTGCCCTGGGACCTCGCCGTCGTTGAGCCCTTACATACCTCACTGGACTCACGTCCAGCAGCCAAACCGACTGGTTCCAGCCCTCCTCGGCAGTTTCTGGTCAGGAATCTTACCAGGGACGGTCTGACAGACAGTGGGGAAACGCATGTGGTACAAGGCACGTGAACTAAAAGGCTATTCTTGTAGAGAAATGTGGGAGAATGAAAATGGTGCAAATGTCAAGAAGAATTCTGCAAACCACGTGCCAAAGAGGTAGCCTGATGTTTTCCAACTGGATGTCTCCACAGATTCAAGGGTAACTGCCACGCCCTGCTTCACCCCGGCCGCGTAGATGTCACCTCTATGTCACCTCCGGTCTAACGTCCCAGGGACGTCCCCGCAACCCTCTCTGCCCCCGAGGAATTCAGTTCAGGGCAACGGGGGTTTGTTGCTCGCCCCAAACACATAGAGAATTCCACTGGGTGGAGCGGGTGGTGCAGAGACGCATGGGAGACACCCCGTCTGGACGGCGGGATGAGCGGCTGCGCAGGATGTGGCGGGTCCCACAAACCCAACACCAGGGCCTGTGGGGTTGGAGATGCACGTGGCTGAGAGACAGGGCTCCACGGGGATGCGGCGCCCGGACCAGGTGCAGGCAGCAGGCGGGACGCCAGGGCAGAGAGCAAGGCCTGCGGGGGGCGAGGGGCGGGCTTTGGAGAACAAGCATCGTGGCCCCGTCGAGCAGAGGGCACTGTTTCCAGGTGAGGCCGGGGCAGGGGCCGCGCGCTCCCCGGCCGAGCCCTGGCTCCAGGTCGTCCCCGGGACAACCTCTCCGGCACCGAGCATCCACCCCAACGACCTCTTGCCCCGCAGCTGCCTCGCCGGGAGCTGCTCCCGTTACACCCTTGTTACAGTCGAGGGAAGTGAGCACAGGAATTAAGGAAGGTTCCTGACCACACCCAGCCGTTAACTGGCCAAGGCGGAGAGCACTGTGTCTCCCAAACCCACCCTCTCCTCTCTCTGCAGCCACGCTGCCTGTGCCACAGCCCCTAGCCCCGTCGGCCACGTAAATGTATGACACGTGAGTAAAAGTT